GCTACCATAGTTCCTGAGATAACCGCATGTTTTCTGAAAAATATAATAACCATTGGCAAATTTTGACCTTTGATGACCTCTGGTGACCCCAATATTGCTCTAAGATGAAAAATGACCGAAATACTTTCAAACGTACGCATTGAGAGCTATCGACTGCTTTTTACCGCGTCTTTCTATCCCTCTTAGTTTTTGAGTTAGAGGTGGGTGGTAACATATGCCCCCCCTCACTAGGGCGAAGTTGGCTGAGACCGCCACTGGGGCGCGGGTTAAGATGGTCAAAAATTTTTGCACACAGTGTATGTAAGTAGGTACATTTATTATTCAACGTCCTTTGTTATTTTTCGTAACGGGCTTTGTGAGGCACAGTTATAAGCTGTTGTCCAATTTGGTCTTATATGAATGTATATTTCCTTGCCATTCCTTTTTTGCGCGCATTCTCACCATCGTCATCTTACCTCCAACACGAATAAGCGCATCACGCACAGCAAGTAAACAAGGTTCTCCTGGCGGCACCTGCGCCCCTGTTTTATTACCCTCGGCCGCAGCCCGCCACGACAAGCTTTGCGCTTCCTATTAGACGTATACCGACGATCGACAAACGGTGCGCACCTGCGGCCTTTCCGACTCGCCGCCGCGCCACTGACCACTACTGTGTGAAGCTGCCGCGACATGCACTGTGTCTGACTGACTGGCGCGGGTCTAGGACCGTCGAACCACTGTCGACCCCCGGCCGACCCGACTGGAGGTCATGCATCAGAGCGGCAATCTCGTCCCAGAGAGCGCCGCTGTGCCCGGGTGCCGAACCGTCGGCCTATTATTCATGGCGAATGGAATTTGGAGGGATTGGATCCCGCTGCTGTAGCTGACAGGCTGAGTAAGGGAGATCTGAAATCACCGGGGAAATATGGCTGTATTTTTGTTTGTCATGGATAGGGTTTTGATTGAAAGTGTGAAATAAACAAAATAAGCATGTTTATTGGAGCTTAGCTGCGATATGTAATTTGCTGATAGACATTTCCTCTATTTGGGGTAAACTAATAATAGATAAACAGAACATGCTATGTTCCCAAACTAGCTTTTATTAGCATTCAAAACACTGTTGCGCGAAAGTAAGTGCAAACATTCTGTATAATGCAACGTCATCATAATGCAAACATGCAGTTATCATAATTCAAATATGCGAACATGCACAATCATTATAATGGCACAATGAAAGAATCGCTAATGATGTGGGCATTATCAATTATCAACTGACAACGTTTGTGTTCAAGAGAGTCTTCCGATCTGCGATATTACCCCTCTCTTTGTCGGCGATTGGGTGTCGAGGTGGCCTTCCATGCCACTCGACCGACGCCCTCACCTCAGCCGCCGACCAATAACCCTTCGGGCAGCCCCTCGGCTGACCTCATATATCGCTCGGAGCGTCTTCATATAAGGGAGAGAGCATTGTCGGGTATGAGGGAGGGACGACAGGGGAGCGGATAAATCCGTAAATGAGGGTATTGGGTTGAACAGGAAGAGAAGTCTGAGGAGATGCGATGCGTGATGTATCTGTGTAATGCCTGATGCCGTATGTATTTTGTTTTTATCCCTATCCACAACCCACACAGACGTTAAATTGTTTCATTGCCTAGTGAAGGGGATTATAAGAAGCTACGTATTATACAGTGGCATGCAATTTTCTCTGATGGATGCATACATAAACTACTCACACGTGCGGTAAATTGAAACGGAAGGCGCTGTGAGTACCACCTCGCCGCCTTTTTCTGCGCCATTCCGGTGGAAGTACGCTGCTGTTTTGCCACATCCGAGCTCAGTTTTGTATTCATCTAGGCACCATCACACACCTAACGACCCCAGTAACAATGCCACCGCAGTGGTGACCGGGCCGCAGAGCTGAGCGCAAACGGCAGTTGGTTCTGTATTCCAGTCGAGCCCAGGCTCTCAAAGGCTCCAGCGAAAGAAAGCATAACAGCGCTGTTTTGCAGCAAGTTCAAAGCCAGAGGTAATCTTGTTCCAGGACTCGTTCAGGTGGAACAGTGTGGCGTTTGGTGCGTTAAGTGAAACTTCTGTAGTGTTTGTCACTAACTGAACATGAAGTCTGGCCCCAGGAGGACCTTTGAACGTCGCGGAAACCTTTACCATTAACCCGCGCCCTGATGGGGTCTGCCGAGCAACGCGGTCTGATGGGGGGGGGGGCATTTTGGCCCCCCTAAGATCTCGAGAACCACGCAGCCTAGCGACAAGCGGCAAACGGTGTTGGATAGCCCTATCAGGGAACTACCTTGCGACCCAATTTTATTGACCTAGGTCAAACCGATGACGTCACAGGTCAGGTTAAAGGTCGAATTTTCACCGTTTACAGGCATTTCAAGAAATGCGTTGTACAATCGAGTAAAATGCATTTCATTGAAAATCATCGATGGGGAAATGTTCTTCAGACACATATTATGCTATTTGAGGTCACTGATACCAGGTCAGGTCACAGAGGTCAGGTCACTGGGGGGGGGGGGGGGGGTCACAATATGACATTGTCGTGTGATGCATGTTTTATGGTCCATTTTACATGACAAATGCGATTATGTGGGTCAGGCAGCCTTTGGGGCCAGCTTAGGTCACGTTTTGGTCAAGGTCAGGTCAAGGTCAGGTCAAATGAGGTCAAATTTCAAAGTTGATATTTTTGCATAAAATGGGTATCGATTCGATGTAGCTCGTCTCGGGGAGTTCAATGGTGGTCTTTGTTTTGCCCTACGTGGTCTAGAATTGCTAAAAATTGAGTTAAAAAATTTGACGTCATCATTTTTGAACAGTTTTTTCGCTATAACTTGGCCAAAAAACGAGATATCGATCTGAAATTTGGTATATATATAGAAGAGCGCAGTGACTATCACATATATTCCGATTTTTCGAAATTCGGAAAGTTTTGATTTTTTTTAGTTTTTCTAAAAAAAAACAATTTTTTTGAATTTTTAGGGGTCAAAATCCCAAAATTTCGAGAATCTGAGATAGCAGTTTTGTAGCGCCGTCTTTTTTCTACACAACCACATAAAGAAGTTTAAAATTGCTTGTTTACTGTAGATTTGGTGAGCGTTTCAAGATGTCATGTTTTTTCCCATTTTTGCTCGAACAAGACCTCAGTTTGACCTCAATAACTCCTGACCCAAGGTGACCTGTGACTTGAAATTTTGTGTGAAGGTGTCAGATTGATGCTCGGGAAAGTACCCAAACTTTGGCGGCGCTGCGTGCCGCCGTTTTCTCGCTATTTAAGAAAAACCAAAGGGGGGCCAAAATGCCCCCCATCAGGGTGCGGGTTAAAAACTCGCACTTTACTGTCCAGTGTCTATCTCGGAAAAATGCCAGTGATGTGTAAACATATTTTCGCAATGTTTTTTTTTCACTCCCGTTAGTGATCTCCCATTATTAACCAGATTCCAAAATGTATGTACTTACGTATCTATTCCCCCCTGCCGTGCGCCCACTCCCTTTTTAGTCCGTCGCCGGCCAGCCGGCCGCGGTGGGAGCCAGTAGTTCCGGCGCCGCTCGGTTAGGCCGCGGGCTGACAGTTGGAGCCGTTGGCCGTGTCAGCACGTGGGCGCGCTGTCCTACACCCCACCTCTCGGCCGATGACCGATCCGCTGGCGGCGCGACCCGCCGCTGGCCGAGACCCCAGTTCGCGCTCCATTTGGGACGACAGCTGCCAAAGCGGCCAATCAGACGGTCAGACGGTTAGACGGTCAGACGGTCAGACGGTCAGACGGTCAGACGGACACCCAGCTGCCAGGTGATATCGCTGCGGCGCCAGGTGTCGCCCTAAAGACGATAGATCGTTGGATATTCTACTGCTGAACGGGAAAAGCTTCGTGTCGTTGTAATCACTTGGCTTGACATTCTCATAGACAGCTCGAAATGATTTACGTAATACCACCGTCACAGTAATTTCCTTTCCTCCGTAAGAGTTCGGCTAGAGAGGTTTCAGCTTCCTCTCATGTTCAGCCGAGCATGAAGAGACTGGATGCAGGCCATAGCACTAATTTAGATGCTAATTCTAAACTAATTACAGCGTTCTGACATCAGATTAGCAATTTGCGCTTACAGCTGAAGAATTCCTATCGTGATACAAGCAGTACATTAACTTAAATTATTCGTTAAACACACCGATTACATGTTTTAATCTTGAGTAGAATAGACATTATTGGCATAGAGAAAGTGTAATGATTATCCTCGTATAAACAATTATGTTTGAAATAGATGAGTCATTTATACGATATAGTCTTGCAGACTGCCTTCTAATGACTGGTTAGCAAAGAAATTAGCATTACCTTATTCGTAGTAGCATTAAAACATATTATTTCGATGAAAGTGTCCACTGTTCTCTCCGCATGAGTCAACTTTCCAGCGAATGTACTTACATACCTACTCGTACTCACGCGTATTTGCCAATACGAGCCGGGCTCCCTCAGGTCTGGGGTAGTGACCACCCGTTCAGGGCGTCGGGGCAATGTCGACCCACAACTGGTCCGTTGGCAGGAACGACAGCCAATCCACCTGCCATAGAGACGGTGCCAATTGTGCTAAAGGTCGCGCCGGCCAGAGACCTCATTTGGTCCGAGCACAGACACCAGCACCAACGACCGGTGGAATGGACTCATTGCAAATACGGGCGCGATGACGCCCAATGAAATTGCTGGGCAGTTGAAAATGCCAACAGATAATTGACTGCACCTCCCAAGTACTTTGAAAATGCAATTCAATAGATGGATGTAGTTGTTGACCTTCCATACTTCCCAGATACTGTTCATTAAAAAATATATCGAATAATCGCATGGTGTCACAATACAAATGTAATGTGTATTTTCAACTCTTGAAACGCATAATCAGTACCATTGCAAAAAAGGTTTCATTTCCCACCTGCCGTGGCACGCCAAAAATTTTTCAGCAGTTCTGCTATTTCTTCTTACCTGTCTTCATTACTAAATCATCCCCAACATGTTCTGTTCCAGACACAATGAAAGAAGGGCAATCTGCTGTTTCAAGACAACAACATCGGACAATATAGCCCACCACCGGCTCAGTCGCGGCACCCGGTGAGCCGCGGTGACCTGTGGTGACCTGCAGTGACCTGCGGTGACCTGTGGTGACCTGCGGTGACCTCTGCTGACCCCGCGGCGCGGCCACCGCCGGCGGGCGGTCCGTCATCACGCCGGCCATCGGGATGCCCAACAGAAAGGGCCTTCTGGCTCCACAAAACACCTTTCTTGACACCATCGCCACCAGATTCGATGGCACCCGTGAGTACACTCGATGGCGCTGTGAGTAGGATGACCTAAGCTTGGATGACTATATTTAGTTTTTGCCGAGATTCATCCGAGAGAATGATATGAACTTATATCTGTTTGTTAGACTATTTGACGGTATGCCAGTCAATGGTGTCTGACTTTTATTTCATGAGATGATGAAACGAAAGAAACTGATGAAGCCTTCGTAAAAATAAACTTTGAAGCACGACTTTTTGGGAAAAAGCAAATAACTGTAGCCACGAAGAAGAAATTGTGTGGCTAACGCGAGCCATTAAATTTCAACTGCCTTGCGTATTTGCCGTGTTTTGGACGAAGCCTTGCTTTACAGTTGGGACACACGACTCAAATTGGAACATCAGCTCGTTAGTAATGATACGGCCTTATCCACCCACTTCCTTATCGTCTTCGGTAAGGATGACGCCTCATTAGTAATCCGTCCTTAACCTGTTGACGATAATTGACGCGCAACATAATGTCGACTAGCTTTAGAAGGAAAATTGGACCTTGATCAGCGACTCGCTTTCGAGATGGATTTCCAATAGCGATGTGAGCTGAAACTAGCTGTTAACTTGAAACTATCTGGAGTTTTAACCCTCGCCCGCACATGGGGGGGGTGGTTGCCACCCCCCCCCCCCCCCCAGGCAGTCTTTCTGCTCTGCATTCAACATTTTTAGAGCTAGAAGGCTGATTTTTCGTATAGCTGCTCGTCTATCCTTTCTTGATGTCCACTGAAAATTTCAAGTTTCTGTGATTTTTGGTTTCGGAGATATGACCTTGTTTTTCAGGTCATGTCATGACCCAAATGGCCAATTCTCAACATCATGCGTTTGCCATGGGCCTTGTGAGCTTTTGACACCCTGATTTCGGCCTTTTTTGCCAGTCTTACCTCCCACCTATCATGGAACATGTTGTTCGACGATGTACAGGGGTCAAGGTCAGGGTCAAGGTCAACCTAGGTCATCTAAGATAATTGCGTTTTAGGCAAGCTGAATTTACTTTTTGTGAAGTTTTTTGACTGCATTTTTGGTAAAAGCTTCTCAGATCATGATTTCATGTGACATGGACCCAAAAACAATCGGTGCACACATCAGTATACACACAGACACACACAGACATACAAACACATATAATTGACCTTGACCTAACTTGACCTGAAATGACCTCAGCAGCAAAATTCTGGTCGGATAGTGTGACAAAGAGGTTCTAGCTGGCTTGGCACCAGAAAACAGCATCGTCATCGGTATTTGATAAGCAGCGCACTTGATATCCAACGGTGACCCAAAACAACAACATTTTTTAGTTTGACCTGACCTGGAAGGTCAATGACTGACCTGAGAAGGTAAAACTGGGTATCATTGGATTCGTCTCTTCCCAAAGAATCTTTTTGGTCTTTACTGCTAAGCTCTATCTCCAACAGGAACGAAATGGCGCGGGGGGGGGGGTGGCAACCACCCCCCCCCCCATGTGCGTTCTAGGATGGGAAAATGGCATGTGCGGGCGAGGGTTAAGGATAAGAGGTTCAGCGCTTGTCTTCTCCAGTCAAAAACGAGGCATTCCCTACAACAAGACATTTGATTACACTATTCAGGTGATATTGATTCCCGGTGGTCTGTAGATGTTTCAACTGGAGATAAGGTTAAACCTATATACGTCCTTAGGTATAACCTTTTAACCCGCGCCCGGCTGGGGGTTCTAGATTTCCACGCCCTGCTGGGGGGGGTGTTTGAACACACCCCCCCCCTTGTAACTCCGCTCCTGGGCCACGTAGCGATACGCGGAAGGCGGCGTTCGAAAGAGCGTCAAAAATAATGACGAAATCACTTCGGTCAATTTTTTGGTCAGGTCAAAGGTCAGGTCACCAGAGGTCATTGAAGGCAAAATTTCGCCGATTTCCAGGTCGAATGTCGACAATTTCCAAGAAGCCAACGAATAACTCGGGAACCAATAGAGCTACAGCGCCGCGGAAAAGCGCATTCGATAGCCCTATTAACGCCCTTTCTGAATAATTCTCTCAGATTTGACCTAACGTCAACGGTTTTGCCTGCAGGGGGCAAAAACTGCAAAAATAGCCGATTTTTTTCGAAAACAGTTTTTCTGCAATAACTTTTGACCCAAGCCTTGTACGAGCTTACTTTTACCGGCATCGTGTTCCTCTCGTCAAGACGCATCGAATGAACTATAACTTGACCTTGAAAGGTCAACTTGAAAATTTGACCTCAGGTCAAGGTCATGACCTGACCGGAAAGGGTCATGTTGCATATCAGTCGATCCGTATCGTCGAGTTGAACACATCTAAGGCGTTTTCATCGCTCTAGCATGCCTCTATCAAAAGTTATTTGCGAAAAACTGTTAGATATCATCCGTGACCTAAGATGACCTCAGGGCATAAAAAAGGGTCACGGATACCATTTTCATGTTCAGTGTGTCTAAAACACTTGTAATTCGGTGTTTGGGAGTGTTTATAATGTCTTTCATCCAAAAGAGGCGCATTTCAATTTTCTCCCATTGACTTATAATGGGGAGGTCGCAAAATTGACCTGACCTTAGGTCATCGATATCAAAATTATGAGATATACATTTTGTACATGTTATTGTTCTTAGCAATCGCTGAAAGTTTCAAAGCGATCGGTCACTCGGTGTAGCATGACAGACATTGAACCTTTTTATGAGGTGAGGTCACTTCAAGTGACCTGGTGACCTGACCTTGAATGACCTTGGTCTGAAATTTTCACAACATGTGTAGAATTGATGTATGATAAGGTGTACCAAAAACGGTGACGCTCCGCGCCGCCGTTTTTGAGATATTCGCGAAAAACCACAAGGGGGTGTTCAAACACGCGCCCAGCAGGGCGCGGGTTAAGCTCGCAAAGCATCTGGCCCTGAATGAGTTAACAAATATGAAATATGATTCCGAATCCGATAACTTCATGCTGAGCTGGGTAAAGTGACTGCAAAATGGAATAGACGGTACCTATTCATTGGTTTCGTGCACCAGGCCCAATCTCGTAACGGCTTCCTGTCGCGGTTACCGGAAACATGCAACGCGCTTTTGAAAAAAGCGCCAGGGACTGATTTCTTTTACTCACCATCTTCTTTTAGATCTCAGGTTTTTAAGTTCGCAAACAGTGAGGGTTCCTACTGATGTCCATGGTTGAGGCAGCGGTGCTATCTACGTATGCTTAATCTACGCTGTCTAGTCATTCATCTTTTATGTTCGTGAATCTTTTATGTGCCCCATGTATGTTATGTGACTGCAGCCGTAAGTGGGCCTGGAGCCTGTGGTTGTTTCGTGCGTAATAAACAATAAACAATAAAGGTTGTGCTACCAAATGGCGTACTATCATTCCACCCCACTCTATTTACGGCACCCTATTCACGCAATCTTATAAAGAGAATAGTATGGTAATTCTATTCACGCCATTTTGCCCACAGTACGAATCAACGCCAGCAGGAAACACGCAACGTGATTGGTCAATGTCTTGTCGCCGTCGCTATTGGAAATTATGCGTACTGTTTGCGAACAGCAAAAGTTATGTGTTTTAATTTTTATTGGGCATTTATTTCTTTTAGAGACACACATATGTGTAATGAATAAGTTATTTATGGGAAACGTGATAGCAAACTATGGAAAACACAAACATGCTTGAAGAATTCTCCTGAAAAGTGGATTGCCGACCAAATAAATTTCAGCGAGGGCATTCTCGCGCTCAGAAATTCGAGTGAATAAAGTGTTTCTTCTACTTATCATTTGCATTTATTTGCTGTTGAGGCATTGCAATAAATTTGTTAAAGAATTATTTAAATAGTTATTTAATTATAGCTCGGCTACTGTTTCAGTAATTTAAGTAATGCCGTTGACAATGAAGCTCCTACAATTTGAGCATCAGGATACGTACATTAACTGGATCAATTCAAGATATAGCTTATTTTCCTTCTTGTCATAAGCTCTTGACATTTTCCTTCTTGAAGATAAACTACTAAAATTCGAAGACTACGTACATGAACTGAATTAGGTCAAGTTACAGCTTATTTTCCTTCTTATTCAAGCATAGGTACCTGTTACCTAACCTAAAGCTAAAAAGCAATTCCTCAAAAGATTGAAGAACCCAGTCTACATATCAAAGCATATCAAGAAAAATACTCGGCTCAGAAGTCAGATCGAGATGCAGGAAGAGAAACAACACATTGATCCTTAACTGTGCCAGACAGAAAGTGAGGAGATACGAATAGTGAGTAGGAATTAACAATTTTTTAACAAACTAAGGTATATCATCATTAATTTAAATATCTAATCAGAAGCCATGAAGTGCCCGTTATTTGTGTCATACGTGAGACGTGAGAATAGGCTAAAGACCCATACCGATTCTATAATGCAGTGGCTGCCGAAAATCTATGATGGTTACTGGTGCTAAAATCCTCTTAAAAATCCCCTTTTAATTTGAAAAATAAATCCATATAACGATGAACACTCGTTTTTATGTGTTTAAGTGTGCATTTAGTTCCTGAAAATACATATTTTGAAACTGATCGTTGTCTGTATAATAAGCATCATTATAATAAACCATGAGTTAATATGTGGAGGATGTTTTAATCTTAAAAATATCATAACGTAAAATATTGCATACTTATATCATAAAAACATTGAATTTATCTTAAATGAATTAAACTGTCTGAGAAGCTCGTCAAAGTACGCCACAAATTCTGGGCCCTGTTCATGAACCCCGGCGGTCGCTGCGGCCGCTGCGGCCGCTGCGGCCAGCCGGGTTGTTACGTCACAAAAAGGGGCGGGGCTCTTGTAGTATGACGAATGTATGACGTCATCTTGCTGCGGCCGCTGCGATCTCTGCGGCCGCAATCCAGCGACCGCCGAGCCTCAAGAAAACTAATTGCACTGAACTTGGCACACTGAAGTCAAATAAGCGCAAGCCGTGTTGTCATGGAGACGATTTTGTAAACAAATTATCTACCGGTGTGCTTCAGTTGTAAACAAT